GGACCATAAAGGTCACGTTCCACCGAGCAGCCTGATGCGATCTTCCTAGGGCTGCTGGTTTCTTGTCGTTTTTTGTTGTTGTTGTTGTTGTTGTGGTTGTTTGTTTGTTTGTTTCTCTTCAGAATGTCATTAGAACAACTGGATTTAGAAGCCTCTTATCTGCTTCAGGACCAAATGGCTGAATGTGATGAATTCAGAAAATATCTCCATTTTCCACACACACAAAAGACTATTGGTATAGTAAGTTAATCCACAAAGATTCTATTTATAGTAATAATGCCTCTGTGATTATCGAGGCTTTCTAACAGAGACTCTTTAAATGAAAGCTGCGTAAACGTGTGTATTTTGGGGGAGTGGTATTGCCTGGAATGTGCTAAACTGAAGCTTGCTTCAAACTCTCTGCAAAGTGGAATGCTATTTGGGGCACAGTGAATCAAAAATGATGAGATTCAAGAAGCAATATCCTAGATGGAAATTTAAATAACATAGAAGGTGTGTGTGAAGGGGAAGAAAGAGAAATTAATTTAATTCCATTTGCTGATGTGACTGTAACATAACTATTTTTAGGTATAATCCAAACAGTGCATATCTTCTCCATTTTGATTAGTAGAAAATTGGCAGAGAGTCAGAAGAATTAGTATTTCTCAGTGCATTATGCCAGAAATGTACAAATAAAACTACATCATCTGTGCCAATGTGTTGAATTTGAATTCCTGCTAACATTTTGATTGACTTACTTTTTCTTCAAAAGAATGAACAGGTCCAGCATGGTTAAAGACATTTCAAAATTATTTTTAAAAAAGGCTTTTACAATGAGAAGCAAAAGTTAACATAAATTTCTTTTAGAACCTCCCTTAGAAGCTCTTGCTAAAAACTGAAATGTTAATACTACTTGGATGTTCGGATGCAGAGTTCCTCCTGGCAACTTTACATATTGTCAGGGGAAGTAGGCACACTCCACAAAACATGAAATTAAAATAAGTTAGGAAAAAGTGCTTAACGAGGGAAGATTTCATAATAGGCACTGAGAAGTTATCAATAATTCCAGTCCCAAGGAAAGCATAGACCAGAAAACAAGTTCTGTTTCAAGAAGTTCATCAAGAGTCTAAGTTGTATGTTGTACCAATTGGTCTCCTAGAGTGAGAATTTATATTATCCTAGCAACTTTTGATGGCTAGTTAGTAGAGAACTTTACAATGATCACTGAAACATAATTTTCAATGGAGTGGGTCAATGCATCCTGATTGTATGTTAGTTCATTAATTTGATTTGAAGGCCCAGGCCTTTGGTGCCCTGGTACACACAAATCTATGGGCAAGGGTGGCTTTCTGTGTACTCCTTGGCTTTCATTGACCATTTTTGGCAGTACACTTCTACAGCACACAAGAGGAGCAGCTCCCACACCCAACGGCCATAGGTTTTATTTTGTTTTGTTCTTTTTTTGTTTGTTTTTTATCCGTCGTGGGGGCTTGAACTCTGGGTCTGGGTGCTGTTCCTCAGCTCTTCAGCTCAAGGCTAGTGCTCTACCACTTGAGCCACAGCGCCCACTTCTGGCTTTTTCTGTTTATGTGGGGCTGAGGAATTGAACCCAGGGCCTCATGCATGCAAGGCAAGCACTCTACCACTGAGCCACCTTCCCAGCCCTCTGTTTTTTTGAGAGTCGTGCGACTTGAATTCTGGGCATGGGCCCTTGTCCCTGAGCTGTTTCAAAGCTAGCACTCTCCCACTTTGAGCCACAGCGCCATTTCCGGTTTTCTGGTGGGTGATTGGAGATAAGAGTCTCACAGACTTTTCTCAGATCTCAGCCTCTTGAATAGGTAGGATTACAGGTGTGAGCCACTATCTCCTAGCTTTTGAGACTGGCAGGCTAACTTCCACATGTCCTAGTGTATATCAATATCAGTTTTCTTCTAAACAGCAAGAAGTATTTTTATGAGCAATTCAGCATCATTGGCATGGTCTATTTCACATAAAATTGTTTCTATCTCCTACCAATATGGATAAACTAGTCCCAAGATTACAGTGGTTTCCATTAACTCAGTAAAGAGAATGAATAAAGTGAATGAACCTGTCCACTAAGTAGTTAAATTGTACAAGTTGCTCCTACATTTGAAAAGAACATTCATGGTTTTAAGACCTGAAGTTTGATGGGCCTGTATACATATTCAGGGCTGGGAAGATTTCTTTTTACTAAAATGTGAAGGGCTGAGATGTAGCTCTTTGGCAAAGCAAGTGCAATGTCCTGGATTCAATCCCCAGTACCAAAAAAGAAAAGACAAAAAACAAATATAGCCAAAATGTGAAGACTTATCTAGATATGAGTAAATAGGAAAATCAAACATTATCCTGATACTCTTTAGCATTCATGAGACATTCAATCTTAGTTGTTATTGTTGTTTGGTTTTTAAAGAGGAGCAAAATCTCTAACAAAATTCATCCTCACAGGAAGGGGCGGGGTTGAGAGAGGACCACAAGAGAGAATACACGTTGGTTCTTGGGGAAATTAGAATGATATGCATTTTTAGATTCTCTGAAATAAGTTTCAATATTTAGCATCTGAATACCCTTCAAGCTTATCTATTTTTTTTCTTGCTTTGCTGGAAAAAGAGGGTAAACTTTGGGGCAGCTTTTGTTGAAATGATGCTGTTCATGCTACCTTCTCCTGGCTTCTACAACATCCATAGCCTCCAGAGAAGACTGTCCATTGGGGCTTTAGGACATTCCACGATGAAAAATATGACCAGTCCTGACCAACCTTAGAAGTGAATTATCTAGTTATGGTCTAGAGTCTAGCTTGAACCAAAACTTTAGACATTGGTTTAACTATATGGCCGGGAAATGAAAACCTTTCTTTAAATATACTTAAAAAATGCATTTTGGTGAATGTGTAATTAATCTCATGATGGAATTTTACTATACTTCCCCTCAGGATTTGATTAAAAATTGGTTTATTATCACATTATAAAGAAGCTAAATAATTTCACATTTCCTTTACCTTAATCTGGCCACCAGAGCGTCTGCTAAAAACCATCTAGTAACTTACACATACCATTTACTTCAGAAGCACTTCTATAAAATTTTTGCCTTACTGTCAACGTTTTATTTTCATTTTAAACAACTGCTAGAGGAATCTTCACACACTGATCATCTGTAGGCTGCGATTTTTTTAAATGGAAAACAAGCTATGGCTTTGAATTTCAAGTAGGCAACAGATTGTTCAATAAGTTAGTCTTCTTCCTTTGTTTCTGGGAAAAACTGCAGCTGAGTTACCTGGACCTGTCACCTCTTCCCTTCCTTTTCTCTCCCTCCCTCTCTCCCTTCCTTCCTTCCCTCCTACCCTCCCTTCCTTCCTTTTTCATAAGATACACAATCCCAAATGTTGCTTCTTAAGCCAACTGCAGCAGATGGGATCTTGAATGCGCCTACAAGTAGTCTGGAATACCTTGAATCTGGCTGTGAAAATTTAGGGCAAATCTGCAACTCTCAGTAGGTGAATGCCTTATTTGGTCTAGACACATTTTGCTATGCTATTGAGTCATGAGAAGTTATTAAAAGGGTTCTATGAGAAATCAAGTCTGTATTTTGAACACAACAAACTCTTTTTTTTATTATTATTAATGACCCCTGACAGATACACGGTAATCTTGATTGTGCCTCATTGGTATTTATTGCACATGGACCATTTCCTCACACAAGTAGTTAGTTGCACCAGAGTATAAATACTTGGTAAAACACACAAAAAGAAATAGAATTTATACACAAGTGCTAAGTTTTACCATCAGATTCATGTGGTCACTTGGACATTAAAAAAATAATAATAAAAATCCGTAAAGATAATTATATTTATAATATGGATACAGTTACAGTACCATGATAAAAGAGTATAAAAAGGTAATTTCCCAATAAATCATTAATCCAATCATGTAATAGACAATAGAAGTCGAGTTTGAATTTTATTTCAGTTGTACACCCACCTCCCCACCCCATTAAAAATGATTTTTTTGTGCAAGAAACATCTCCTGTGGATTTCACAATTACTCGACACTGTGCAAAAAAATAGACATTTTGAGCCACTTCTGTTTTATTTGCCTTGGATTTTCAGTTTTGTTTTATTCGTATGTGCAGTAATCGGAACTGTTTCCTATATTTTTTTCTCCTCCTTTCTTTTCTGTCCTGTCTTCAATTGATAGAGTCACTTATCACAGAGAGAGACTCAGAGCCTGGTCCTTCCAACTAATATTGATACATAAATAAGCTGTTTAATATAAACAAGTCTTTCTATCTTGCTGTGCACGACGCACAGGGTGAGGTAGAAAACTCTTAGCCAGACCACGGAGGTGCACAGGGGACAAGGGTTTGCCCTACAGAAGGAAAGCGAGGTGACGTTTGTTTAAGAATAGCTTAACAGTTCTGAAACACGATTTTTTTTTTTGCATCTATTCTTTCTCTTTGCTTTAAGAAGGGGAGAAATCATTACTCGGGAATTAAAATGAAATTTCTCTGGAAAGCAAAAGGAAACATGTCCTGACAATTTGTGTTTCTCTCTCTCCTCTCTCTCTCTCTCTCTCTCTCTCTCTCTCTCTCTCTCTCTCTCTCTCTCTCTCTCTCTCTCTCTCTCTCCCCCTCCCTCCTTCTCTCTCTCCCTCTCTCTATGACGAATGGGATAGGAGCTAAGTTGCTAAAACGTATCTCCCATACCCATCCAATTTCCACTCTGGGCCTTGCAGAAAATGTCAAAAACTCACCTGGAAAAAGGAAATACCTAAAGATGCATCACACACGCACGCGCGCGCGCGCGCACACACACACACACACACACACACACACACACACACACACACACACACACAAGGCCAAACCACACAACAGCAAAGAACCCAAGAAAACTCAGCAAGCCACTCTCTCAAGCCCTCCCCAAACTTTCCTTTTCGTGCAACGGTCCGTGGCTTTTCTGTTTGTCTTGGATGCTTCCGCCGAGGTTCATGGACTTGGAGTTCACCTGCTTTCGGTCTTGGGTAAACACAGATCTCCGTTTCCCCTGGGAAGTCACTCGGGGGCGCCTTGGCGGGCTCTAGCTCCCCCGGAGGCGCCCGGCTGGGGCGCCGGCGTCCGCGCCCAGAGCCCGGCTCTCCTACACCTTGGATTCCGAGGCGAAGCCCAGACGGCTGGGTTCGTCCAGGCTGGAGTCGCTGTCCGCAGTGGCCGCTCCGCCGCCGCCGCCGCCGCCGTTGCAGCCGGCCCAGGGCTCCAGCAGGCGCACGGGCGGCGTGGCCCCGACGTCGTCGTCGTCGTCGTCGTCCGAAGCGGCCCCGGGAGACGGCGGCGGCCCGGTTCCCGCCAGGCAGCCCGAGACGCGGGGCCGGTCCCCGTGGGCGGCGTGGCGCCGGCGGGCGGCCCGGCGCGCGCAGCACAGCAGGCGCTGGAAGGCCTTGCGGAAGTCGGGGCTGCGGCAGTAGATGATGGGGTTGAAGGCCGAGTTGGCATAGCCCAGCCAGTTGAAGAAGACGAAGAGGCGATCGGGCACCAGGTCGCGGTGGAAGGCCTTCACCACGTTGGCCAGGAAGAAGGGCAGCCAGCAGAGCGTGAACACGCCCATGATGATGCCCAGGGTCTTGAGCGCCTTCTGCTCGCGCAGGGCCACGAGGCGCGAGGGCCGGCGCTTGCTGACGCGCCCGTTGGCCATCGAGTCGGCGGCGGCGGCGGCGGGGCGCGGGGGCCCCGGCGAGGGCGAGGAGGACGCCGGCTCGGGCTGCCGCGCGGGGCCGCCGAGGAAGCGGCGCTCGCAGCTGTCGATCTTCTTCACCTGCTTCTGGGCCTCGCGGAACACCCGCAGGTACACGAAGGCCATGATGCACAGGGGCACGTAGAAGGAGACCACGGACGAGGCGATGGCGTAGGCTCGGTTGGTGACGAAATCGCAGCACTTGGGGTCGTTGTAGCAGCGGCGCGCCTCGTCGCTCTCGGCCCGCCACCAGTGCATGAGGATGGGCAGGAAGGACACCAGGGCCGAGATGGCCCACACGGTGCACACGAGCGCCCGCGCCCGCGCGCGCGTCAGCAGGCTCTGGTAGCGGAAGGGCGACGTGATGGCCAGGTAGCGGTCCAGCGCGATGACACACAGGGTCTCGATACTGGCCGTAACGCACAGCACGTCCACCGAGGTCCAGAGCTCGCAGAAGAAAGAGCCGTACTCCCAGCGTCCCCACACCACGATGGTGGCCCCGAACGGCACCACCAGCAGCCCCATGACCAGATCGGCGCTGGCCAGGGACATGATGAAGAGGTTGGTGAGCGTCTGCAGCCGCGGCGTCTTGGCGATGGCCACGATCACCAGCACGTTGCCCGCCACGATGAGCAGCACGATGAGCGCCATCAGCAGGCCCATGCCAGCCGTCCACTGCTGCGACAGCGGCGCCGGGCCCTCGCTGGCCGGGGGCAGCAGCGAGGCGGGCGGCGACGCGGGCACCAGCAGCCGCGCCGCGGTGGCCGCGCCGTCGGGCAGCGGCGCGGTGGACGACAGGTTGCAGGGTTCAGAGGGGCCCAGGGCGAGCGCCCCCGCGCCCATGCCGAGCTGCGGAGGCCGGGGGCGGGGGGTGTGGCGGGGCTGGGCCGTGGTTGGGGAACACCCCAGAAGCCCGGGACGGCGGGCCCCCGCGCGGGGAGGTCGCGGCCGGGTCAGGGCAGCCGCGGCGCGGGGCCGGAGGCATGGGCTCGGGGCGCCTTCCCCGCCGGAGCCGAGCGCTGTCGCCGCCGCCGCCGCCGCCGCTGCTGCTGCTGCTGCTGCTGGAGCCGCTGCCGCTGCTGGCAGAGCCGCCGGGACCTCAGCATGATTCTGAGCGCGCCCGGCCCGCGGCTCCGGCACCCAACACCCACCCCACCCCGCTCCCACCTCCCCAAGCCAGCCCCGGGGCCGCGCGTCAGGCTCCCGCAGCCAATCGCATCGCAGGCACGCCCTCGACCCGGCCCTCCCCCCCCATCCCCGCGTCCCCTCTCCCCTCTCTCCCCCCCTCCCCGCGGTTGAGCGGCTCTGGGGAGTCGGAGGCCCAGCGTCCGGCCCGCGTCCCCGCGGCACCCGCCGGCGGAAGCACGCGCCCCAGCGCCCCTCTGCCTGCGCCCCTCACTGGGCCCGGCTCCCACCGGTCCCCGCCCCCTCCTGCAGTCCTCAGTCCCTTGCACAGTCCGCTCCCAAACATCCCCCTTTTGCCTTCAGCGCTAGGCTTTCCCCCTAGGCTCCCTCCGGCTCCGCTGGGCACCCCGCTCCCTGCGCGCCCCTTCCCCCCGCGGGCTTTCCGCCGCACGGTCCCGGCGCTGCCTGGGCGCCCTCCGAGCGCCCGCGCGCACTGGATCGACAGCCGGTCCGCTGGGGTTGGAGGAGGAATTGGGTTGGAGACTGGTTCTCGCAAGCAGCCTGGCCCGGTGCGTGTGAAGCCGTCCCCGATCCAGAGCCGACCCCGCCAGCCTGGGCGCCGGCAGCTTTGCGGGAATGGAAGAGGTGCGTGCCGGTGGCTAGAGGAAGAAACTTCGCAGCGGCTCGAGACATTGCGCACTGCTCTTGCCAGGAAGAAGCCGCTCTGTGTGACTTTAAGTGCGGCTGGCTAGGAGCGGAGGGAAGGGGAGGGGAGGAAGGTGGGTGCACCGGAGACTGCGTTGCGCCCGGGGCCAGCTGGAAGCTTTCGGTGCCCAGCCTGGGCTAGGGCTGAGTACATAAGATTGATCCAGGTGTGTTCTCAGTAAGGGGGGGGGGGGGGCGCCTAGAGGCGCCGCTATTAACATCCACAACATCCCTACAGAGAAAGAACAAGCTCATGACATTGTAGAAATTTTAACACTCAGTTGATTCCTACATTTTGTATTTTATTATTCATGTGGTTTTATAATCTGAGCCAGGCCAATACAACCCAAAAGGTAGCATCACTTTGGGTTGACGTCATGAACTGAGACTTTCATTTGCGTGGTTGCTTTCTCCTTTGTCCAAGTTCCCAGATTCTCACCACTCCGAGATTAGCTTTGGAGGGATGAGACAAGAAAATATATAAATACCCAAGGGGATTAAATTCGAAAGCATTTAAAGTTATATCAGTGGGTGGTGGTTTTCTTCCCCCCCTTTCAAGTTGCTAAATGAATGAGTGGTTATCATAGCTGTAAAGTAGATTGTATTGGGGGCCTGACAGGATAGATCTCAGGACTTTAAACCTCTTGTCTAATTTGGTCCTGGTCATGTTCTCATCTCAGGCCTGAAAAATAAATCTGTAATTAAGTCCTTGAGAAGTAAACAACTTCTAATTGTCAGCACAAGGGTGCACGATAGAGTTACATAATGTTATATAACGCTCACACATCTTTCTGACATTGGAATAAAAGAACAGCATCTGGAAGGAACATCAACTCATATTCACACCTTGCAGAGAGACTGACTTCCACAGCTGTCCAGAGCAAAAACTAATGTTTGATGAGTTTTATAAAGCAAAGTTTGATGAGTTTATAAAGTCACCTTCTCTTACCAAAATCCAAGAGAATGAATTTGCTTTTAGGCTCTAAGTTGATTATAAAAGTATTACAACTGAGGACTGATTTATTTGTTTATTCACCCCTGCCCTGGACTTATCAGCTCAGTCCTGCCAACTTGGGGGAGCCAGGGAAACAGAGTCACATGGAAGAGACAGTACCCATAGCCACCCCAGTCTCTCAAGTCTGTCTCCCTTTCCTTTTCCCTTCCTCCCTTCAGGCTACTTTGGGGGTGGAGATCGTGGAGTCCAGTGGCAGCCTTAAAATAGACATTGGATTGGAAAGTATTGAAATGGAAGCTGCCCAGGAAAGGGGAATTCAAAGTGCTGGGTAGCTAGGGAATGTGGGAGAAGAGGCTTTCTATCCGGCGCCATCTTTCTGTCAAGTGGATGGAGTGGATGGAGTGCGCCAACCTTGGTGCCCCAGAAAGCATTGCATTTTGGGAAGTGATAAGGCCAGAACTTGGTGGCAGAGGCTCAGGATAAAAGCTGGCTGCTAATCGCTTTATGGAATCACATGTATGAGTACAACAGGCGGTGGGGCAGGAGGCTGGAACTTCCTCACTCCCATGATGGGAGTTGCATTGCTTTTCTCTGAATTTCAGTGGGATAAATACTAAATCTTTTTTTGTGCTTAAGGATATAAGATTAAGAAGAAAAGGTTCAACGTATCAATTGGAGGCTGTTTTCTGCTGCTCTAATAGAGTACGTTAAATGAGGTAGTTAGGGCAGAAGAGTGCTTGGGCTCATGGTTCTGAAGGGTGGGAAGTTCATGATCAGGCAGCTGAATCTGGTGAGGGTCTCATAATGTCATAACATGACAGATGGCATCACATGTTGGAATGTGTGTACAAGAGAGAAAGCAAGAGAGGTAACAAAGCAGGTAACCCCACTGTCCAGATAACTAACCCATTCTCATAGGAACGACTTTAATCCCTTCAAGTGGACTGGGGCCCACAAACTACCTTCTTAAAGCCCCATGATCTCTAAATCTGGTAGCACTGGCAATTTAACCTCAACATGAGTTTTGGTGGGGACAACCTATGTTCAAACAGCATGAACTTTGATGTGACGAGATCACAATGAGTCATTCCATTCCCTCCCTCCCCACTTGAACTCTTAAATCAGATTTCAGGAACAGGTTTGACAGTAATTCAGGAAACATCAGAAAACTCAACAGCCACTGGTAATCTAGCACACTTGAGAGGTAGTGAGCGTCCTCCTCAGATTTCCTGCCCCAAGCTCTTCCCTTCTTATCTACCACCTCTCCACTGCTGGGACTTGGTCTAATGGGTACCCTCGCCTTAAATACTCAATCCATTGGATCTAACAGACCAAAACCAAAATGAATTTTCCAAAAATGCTTCTATGACCAAGATGATTTACCTTTTTAAAGGCCTAAGTCCTTGACTTGATATTCAAAGGCCTGGTCTGTGGCATTCAGCACAGCCTAGTTGTATGTGAACTCTTGTCTTCACAGGTGCTTTCTATAACTCCAACCCTCACCAACTCCTATCTGTGAGAATCAGCCTTGGAGATCTGGCCAATGAGCTCCTAATCCTCTTGTAGTTTTTCCTACTCTTTCTTCTGCAAATGGTCTTTCCTTCCTCTGCGTCAGTAGTTACTCACTACATACTTCTCAGGTGACAATTAATCACAGTTTGCCTGTCAGTATCTCTTATATAGTTATTTTATCTAATTGTTCTATACATTATAAGGTCACAGAGCATTGGGACTGTCATGTACTTTTTATATATCTTTCCTGTTTACTAACAATGACCCAGCTGAAATGAACAGCTTTGATTTAAAAAAATATGTGATATTTATTTATACATTTTCATTTTCACATAGGAAAACTGATCGGGTATTTGGAAGTTGGCAATCTTCACTCAGGTTTATAATTCACATATTTCGCATCCCTATAGCCTAGTCATTATTTGCATATGGACATTTCTAACTACTTTGCAATAAAAGGTAGGCTCAAGAGATATGTAAATTTGCATCATATTTGGTCAGGTCACAATAAAGTAAAATGTAGGTAAGAGGTATCCCAAATGGGCCAATCAATAAATGTTGAACCTATTTTTCATACGTGATCAAGGTGGGAAGCTTTTTCCCTTGCCTTTATTTATGGCCCTACACTATCTACTCATTTCTGCTCTGGGAGAATTACAGATGCCTTGAATTTCATTTCAAGTTCTAGACCAAATTAAAAGTCAGCAGAGCAGCCATTAATAGGCATCGAACTCTTCCACAGTTACAAACCAGGAGCCTGGCAAAGCATTCTTGAATTGGCTTTTCTACAAAAAATGAGCTAAAAATGAAAGTAGCAGCCTAACTGCCACTAACTCCTACTGGGAGGTAGGCCAAAGGAGGTCTGGGAGGAATTTTCCAACAAGACCCTAAGACACATACTGCATTTGTTAGTAAAATTTGCCTTTAGGTTGATAATAGGCTCAAGACACTTGAAATGGCCATGTCACTAATCAGAGGATTTGGTAATCAAGGCTTAAGTAAGCTTCAAGTTCCTGAGGAAAGACCTACAACTTTTCACCAAAGCCAGTACTCAGTGCTAACTAAGTAAAGAAGAGCCTGCTCCAGGTGGCAACTTAAGGTCATGCACTAGTTTTGTGACCACAATTGACACAAGGACAAGTGACTCCAGCCAGTATGGTCACAACAAGCACAGAACAGAGTCTACAGTAATCAGGAGCAATGTGTGGACTACTGAGAAAATTCAAAAGCTTTCACTTCTCACCACCACCTCCTCCTCTCCCTCAGCCTCCTCCCCCTTCCTTGTATCTATCAAGTACATTGAACAAAGCTAGAGCCAATAATAATATTTTTGCAGAATTTGGCTGTGTTGGAAAATGTTCAGACTCAGGAGACGGAAGATTCAGGTTTGTGTTAAGCTTTGTCAGTCTCTTGGGTGACCTTCCTTCACCTTTAAAATGGACTCTGAGTGGTGTGGGGATTATGCATGGTGACGTATGATGCTTGTAAAGCATCACATTCTGTCTTCCTCCGCCATCATCCTGTTTCCAGCTATGGAAGCTATCACATCAAACTTGCTGATATTATCGTCTTGCTGAAACTTTTCTCCATCTGTTTGATTTCTTTCTCACTGGGTGTTAATACGACTCAGAGGCTAGATACAGGGAACTACTTTTAGTGCTATTATCATTTAGTATGTGTGTGTGTGTGTGTGTGTATTGGTACTAGGGCTTGAACTCAGAGC